TAATTAAAATTAAGATCAATCCAAATTTCAAAATAATTACATAACTGTAAATGTAAACTTAAATGTTAAAAAAATTTAAATTAATGTAAAATTGACCCAAATAAAAATCAAAATAGTGTCAAGTGTAAACATGAAATTTAAACAAAATTAAAATTCAACCTAAAATTTTAATTTTTTCTTAAATATAAAATTTAATTAAATTTAAAATAAAATTAAACATGGAAATTACTCTAAATCAAACTTCAAATCTAGTAAGAATGAAATAAAAGTAAATCCAAACTTAAGATTGTATGTATGTATATGTGTGTGCAAACCTACAAAATCCATATATATGTGAATATAAACAAACACACATAATACATACAAACTTATGTAGGTGAGAGAGTAGATGGGTGGTTACACATATATACATATGTGTGTTATTCAAAACTTAAACTCAATCATAGTTTAAAATTTAACCTAAACAAATCCTAAATCAATTTAATGAAACTAGCCTCAAAAAACAAACTAAATCAATTTTTACTTGAACCTAAGATTAAACCATGACTAAAACTAAACCCATGAACGAATGGGAATTAATCTTAAACAAAACTCAATACAATACTCTCTGATTGCCCACCCTGAGGGACAAGATGGTTATACCACCATGACCATTTGAATGGGGAGAAATAAAATTCTCCTCTATTTGATCACAATTCCCCTAACTCTCTCCTCCATCTGATTCTCTGAGCTTGCGTTAACTCACTGATGTTGACCTCATTTTTTGGTCAATCAATTTTCTTGGTTGTATTTAACTGAATCTATTTGAGTCGAATCTTGAGCTAAACAATAATTCAATAAAATTGAAATCTAACTTCACAAGATTGAAATCAAATCAATCAAATTGAAACAAGCTCTTAATATAATCAACTTTAACCAAACCCCAAAATTGACCTCAAATCAACCTTAGCTAATATAGATCTTGAATTTATCATTTTCTCTCCTCAGATTGTTGTAGGACTCAGAAACTTCATTCTAAAAGCTGTGTTATTCTAATTTTCATATATAAAGTCCACACAAATAACGTTTAGAATCGTCTAATAAAATTTGTTTGTTAAATTCTTCAGTTTAAATTTTCATGCATGAACAATGCTGTCTTCAAACCCTAAAATTATCATTTTCTCCTTGGGTCAATCTGGTGGTTGAAATTACATTATGTAAGTTGCATAATCTTCATAATCACATATCAGGAGTATGCGAGCCAGTTTGGGAGGCACCAGACACCATTCTTACATAAAATTTTGCACTTAGGGTTTCATGTATAAAAAATAGCCACACATAAATATTTTCAACAAGCCTTTTTTTAAATGAACTTTTCCATTGCATCTATATCATCAAAATATTTCAAATGAACCTCTCTAGGATCACATCTAACTCCATTTGGTGGCTCATTGAGCCGTCGATAATTGGAACAGACAAAATAATAATTTTAATAGTAAAAGGAATAACTGTAATAATTTGCTTCAAAATGAGCTTAGAATGGAATCAAAATTCCACAAAACTTGATCTATATGAAGAAATATTTGGTTTAATCCATTAAAACCAACCAAAAGTTCCAACTAAAAATTCACTAATTTTATCTCCTAGGATTTAGGCCCACTTTATCCTGAAATATCTTGATATAGGACCCACTTAGACTAAAACCAATTACACCACTAAATTTCTAATATTTTTCTCTATAATATGAACCTAAGTTAAAATTTTTTATCATAACTACCATAACCATCGGACCAGTTCGACTTGACATATTTTGGATTAGAGATCTTATTTTTTAAAATGGATTTGACAATTTAATTCCTTACTTTGCTCTCTTCTAAATAATTTCCAATTATGTTTTTCACCTTAACCACCATAACTACCCAATTTAAAATATCTCAATTTTCCCTCCCTTTTATTTGAAAATTTCCTCTCTTTTCCTCTATAGCTACTCCCTCTTTCTTTCCCCCCAAATCTTCCTCTTTAATTCTGCCCCTCAACTAATCAGCCCCATAACTCTAATTCCCCTCATTCCTTTCCAAAACCCAAGTCCTCGTCCCCATTCTCTCCCTCTTCAAGTGACCTCCCTCTCCCCTTTCCCTCCTCTCCTGTCTTCCTTCCACCACTAAATTGAGAGCATCACTCCATCTTCCTTATCTTTTCTTCTCTAATTGAGAAGAAAAAGGAAGCCCCAAAGAATTCACATCAATAAAGCGTAATCTAAGTCCAAGAGTTATGTTTTTGCCAAATAAATCAATGTATGGTACAACTCTCTCATCCCTTTTTGGTTTCAATGACGTAGTTTATAAATTATCATGTTTTTTACTATTTGTTTTATTTTTTTTTTATTTTTCACCACTTGATTTTCCCTTTTCTATCATTTTTTACCATAGATCTCCCTTGATTTCCCCTTTCTTTCATTTTCCGCCATAAATCTTCTTTGTTTACTCCACTCTCACCTTAAATATAACCAACCCGAAACCCTAACTTTTTTTTCCTACCAACATCCACCCCATACCCAAAATTCAAACTTCATTCCTACCAACTTCCACCTCATAAAGAAAACCCTAACTTCATTACTACCAACTTCTACCCCATAACTAAACCCTTACAGTCACCTTAACCCTCTTCCTACCCACTTCCATCACAACCCAAAACCCTAACACCCCCTCTACCTTAACATATTAGCCTAACCTGAGAACACCACCTCTATCGTAACTTTTGAGTCAAACCTAAAAGAATTCACTGAAACACACACTCCCAAGACTTAATCGAATCTAAATACACACTCACTTACCCAAACCTAAACAAACATAGCTTGAATCTTGCCTAGCCTAACCCCAACGCACCTAATCTCACCCTACCCAAACTAACCTAGCCAAGACATAGCCTACCAAACCCAAACACACTTAAACTCACTAAACTCAAACAAGCCTAGCTTATATACACCCAAATAGATTTAATCACATCATGTCCAAACTAACCTAGCCTAGACTTAGCCTATGTGAACCTAAACACACCTATACCTTACCCTACCCGAACCCTAATCAGCCCACCGATTTGTGAAAAGATTGCATGAAATTCTTTATGTTTTTCACATCATTTTGAATGAAATTTCACTTAAAAAAATGCATTTTCATCTTTTTCTTGCAGGTTTAACAAGTATTAGTACTGGAATGAAGTGGAAGGAACATGGAGCGAAAAGGAAAAGATTTAGAGAAAAAATAGGATTTGTGAAGACAAGACCATGACACCACTATTGCAACACCTATGCACCTGTCCACCATAGCCAAAGTCATGGTGTCAGAAGCAGAGCGTGGAATAGCTTTCTGTGAGTGAATCTTGGTATTTATGATTTTTCTAATTAAATAAAGAATATAATGGTAATTTAGTAAATTGTTATATTAATTAAATTTATACTTTAAAGAAGCTTCTTATATCTTAAAATATATAACTCCAAAAATTATGGAAATATAATCAATAAACATAAAAACATGTTTAGGACACACTAGAAAAATGCTTTGTAACATGCAAGACTTACCTGATCCTAAAAATCAAGTCTTAACAGATGCATTGGTATACTACAATAGCATTCATTATAGTTGATATGCATGACCTAGGTATGACTATCGATAGTTGCTTCTTTGTTGGACTTACTTAGCTCAGAGAGGTCGGTCAGAAAGTTCTTTATAGCTTGAGCCTTGATGGTTGTTCAAGGTTGATAGGAGAGATCAGACTCACTGAGTTCTACCACACATTTAAGAAGTCAACCAAACTGTTTTGGCATGGTGAGGAGTGAATTGAACAATGGTCGGTGATCATCCTGATCAGATGCATTTGAAAATAAGGGTGGAGCATGCAAGCAGTAATAACGAGAGAGAAAGTTAATTTTCCTATAATTGGATACCTAAGCTCTGCTCCTCAAAGGACTCGATTGATATTATAGAACTGGAACTGCTTCCCTTGTTCCTCTTTAACTAAAATATTTCTGATGGCTTGGGGTTTGACTCTAAAATACATGGAGAGTTCTTCATTCGACTTTGGGCTTTGATCATGCTTCTGATTCGACACACCTCTGATCATTTCTAGCATATGATCATTCAGATCCTTCAGATCTTAAACTTATTAGAGCATAAACTCTTTGGTGCTCTCCATGTTGTCAACAATTCTCCTATTGTGTGGTCTTTCTCCTTGCATAGCTCATCTTCTTGCTAGTGACATGATTAACACTTGCCTCACCTTTCAGGATGTTGAATCCAAGATTATCAACGAATCACACCGATGTAATAGAGTGCAAATAAGAAGTGGTAAAGAGAGAAAAGAAGTGATGAATAATGTACTATTCCTAAATTTTTTTCTTATTTATAGAGGAGATAGTGCAATGGTGATATTACATTTTTACTTCCATTTAGAAGGAGTATGTACTAGAGCATTTAACGTCTTTTACAAGTGTGAGATTATTGTCTAACTGCCTTTTGGCTTAATCAGCTAAACTTAGTTGACTTCAGGTCGACGAGGCCAATTTGGCCGATTGAGCTTGGTCGGTATGTTCTGACAGCTGATTCAACCTTGTTGAATATCTTCAATCCCTGGTGAGGAGACTTTGGGTCTCCACGGAATAGTCTGAGACACTTTGCAGAACTGGATCTTACTTTGGATCAACTCTACTTGTGGGTTAGCTATCACACCGAGTCGACTTTCTTGTAACGGTTGGCTCTGATGCTCTTTTATCTTGTTTGTGGCCGGGTGGCTCATATTTGAATCATCTAGTCGTCTTCTTGGTGGCCTCGTGGCTCGGTCAATTTTACCCTAGTTGGTTTGGCTCTATGGCTTTGGTCATTCGGTGAGGTGGGTACACTTTTTTGATGCATACCATACCATTTTCTTTTCTTCTGAACCATAAGATCTCTTTATGATTAAAAGATGCATCTTTTTGATGCACACCATCAGAATCTTTTGAATAATACTTTTTCGTATGACAACTTCATTGCTACTTCTTCGAACAAGCTATCCCTGGATGCTAAATCTTAACGAAGGAGCTATGATGGTGGATGGAGCCGTGCGTAGCTTTCTGAAAGTTGTGTTCATTACAGATGGGCCGCAAAACAGGCTCGTTCCCTAAAAGCACATTCAGGTCTTAATGTAACAAACTCTGGTTAGCCATGACTTCCTTGACAGCCCGCGCGCCACTGCTTCTTGACTCCATCGTCTCTCTACGCCGTCAAACCCACCGCGACCTCCACCATTTCCTTCCGTGTCCGTGGAGAAGCGGTATCACAGCTGCGAAGAACCTTTGTTGCCGTTGCCGAATCCATTTTAGTTATCGAATGGCGTCCGGCAGCACGCAATCTCCTGCTACGCCGAAGCAGACCATGACATTGCCGAACGGAAACCTCTTTGAGATTTTTGCTGGTCCAGCCCTTTCAGAATTTGAGTTCAGGTACTTGGCTTTTCTATCTCTGTATATATGTTTGTAGAATTTGGTAATCCGGAAAAATCCCAGTGTGGAAATTCATTGATCAGTTGGTGTGCGTCTCCTTGAGCAGCGAATGCCTTGCGGTTTCAAACGATTTTAAAACTTCTCCTTATGTCGCTGAGTTATGTTTGGAGGCATGAATACTTTGCAATCTAATGTGAAATTTTGGCTGTAATATTGGATGCTTTTTTCCAAACGGCTTCAGTTGATTTATGTCGCGAGTGATTAGCTGAGAGTAGCTGATGAACTATTTGAATAGAAGTTCGAAAACTTCTGCTCAAATTCATATATCTTTGTGGATAGCTTTAGATGTTCCTAAACTTGATTATCGAAGTTATAGATTCTTTGATTTGTGTTTTTGATCACAGAAGCGCCATAGAGTCGCCTTTGTTCAAACAGTGGCTGAAGAATATGCAGGGTGAAAGAGGTCTTCTAGCGGGCGGACAAATGCATCTGCAGCGTGTCGAAGTTCAGGTACTTTCTGAAACTTTTTTAGGCACAGTGCTATCTGGAAGAAAAAAAGCGCTGCTGTTTATTTATTTATTTTTATTTCTGCAATATTTGTTTGCAGGAATTAAGCGATTCTTCTGACGAGCTTCTTTTTTTTTTTTTTTTTTTTTTGGGATTTTCTCCAATTTTTTTGCAGAGATTTTCTGCAAATTTTTGTCAAACTATCATATTATCTTTCCTTGTTATGCTAAAAAATTGAGCCAGAGATTGAGGATTGCTTCATTTGCTATTGTGCTTTTTGATCTAGAACACACAACCATGTTAGTAAAGCAGAGGAATAGAGATAAGATTTTTTTTTTTGAGAGCTCAAGAAGTGAAATACCGAGGCCTTGGCCAATTAAATAACTTTTACTGTATTTGAAGCACATATTAGATTTTGCCCTTCGCCGGCTAGTTGGAGAAGGCATCATTACAATGTCTTAATAAGAGTTTTCGAAGTTGTTGGTATGATGCAATGGATGTTTTGGAAGTAGACAATATCGACTAGTTTAAGAATGGTGTTTGTGGTTGACAGAGATGATGAGGCTGTGGCAAACTTACATTTGTGACATTGTAATCCTAGCAACATGAATAAATCAATTGATTGATCACTTTTATGATGGTTGCTTCTAGCGACAACAAATGTGCTGGTTGTGATGTGAATGGGTGTTTTCCATGATACCGTTTTAGGGTTCCTAGAAGATATTTAAAAAGTAGATTTTGTGGGGAGGTGGTTATAGAATAGCGAGAGAAAGCTAATATGTGTTGTCGGTGGTGTTTGGAAGGGATTGCAGGGATAAATCCACTGTTGGACAGTAGGTTTGACGACGTTGACAGCTTTCACGGCTGAAATCAATAAGTTGGATGGTGAAAAGGCATGATACGGTTGGCGAGTTGATTCAACCACCTTTTCCTAAGAAAGATACTAATACATCACTTGCAAAAGTAAAATTATACAACACTCTTTAGGGCAGAATCAAATATTACAACCTCTAAAACATAAAAACAATGCAAAAAAAATTTTTAATAAAAAATTACAACATATTAAATCAAAAGGAAAGATTTATGCTGAAAATACAACGAAATCAGTGAGCTCTGGTGGCATTCCTAGTGGCTGCAATCGTAGGATCAGGATTCCGTGATATGCAGGATTTCACTTATTCAGCGATTTTGGGGCACGACAACTCCCACATCGTTCTTCCGAGTTAGAAGAAACTTCCTTTTCTCTGAAAAGACCTGGATCCTACTATCAGATGTTTTTTCCTATAAAATATCTTAGGAGATATCCAAAGTCGCGATTCATCACTCCTATTTGACCATCGGTCTAGGACAACATCGCAGAACTTAATAACGACTTCTTTATCTGAAATGCACTCTTCTTTAACTTAATAACGACTACCTTTACCATTTTGTCTGGTGAAATATTTTTTGCATTCAAAGACATGTTCCATTGTCTGAATTAAGGGTCCGTTTGGGGCAGCTTATTTGGTGCGGTGGCGTTTTGAAAACGCACCTAGCCTGTTTGGGTAAACTGCGTTTTGGCAGCTTATGAGTTTTGAAAACGCAGAACACAACGTTTTCACACTGCACCTATCTAGGTGCGGTGACAGCTTTCTGGCAGCAGTCTGGCTTTTCCAAAAAAATAAAAATTTGTAATAACTACCGTACCTAGCTTATCAGCAGATTATTTTTAATTAGCTTATCTGCAGATTATTCAATAAGCTGCAGCTGCCCCAAACAGACCCTAACTCGATTAACTTTTCTGGATCCATATGATTGTCAAGATCCGACATGTCAATCTTTACTCCAAAATCCTAGTTTCTCCTCAAATATTCCATGCCAAATTTTCATGATATTGGTTCTTCATCACTGGAAACTACCTAGTGGAAAGAATTTACTTCCTTCTCGCAATCTGACAAGTCATCATTGTGGCTACAGATGATCTCACTAGATTGTCTTCTCTCAAAAGCCACAAACCTCTGTTGCATTTTTAGGATTTTTTGCTGCATGCTTTCCATAGTGAGCACGTAAACACCTCATTGCGGGTTTCTCCTTTCAGCATGACATCCCGTTCCTCCAATGTAAGTTTTGACGGAAAAGGAAGACATGGTTTAGGGTTAGGGCTAAGGTTAGGTGGATAGTGTGAATTTTTTTTTTTTGCTAGGGATCCTAAAGGGTATTTGGCAAATGGATTTTGTGGGGAGGTGGTTGTGGAACAGCGAGGGAAGGCTAATATGCGTGATCGACCGTATTTGGAAGGGATTACGTGGATAACTCTGCTGTTAGACAACAGGTTCGATGTTGTTGGCAACTGTCTTGGCCGAAATCAACAAGTTGAATGTCAAAACGGCATGATAAGGGCGACGAGGAGGGTCCACCACTTGTTTCTAAACATGATACATATATACCACTTGCAAAAAGAAAATAATGCAACATTTATTGGGGTAGAAATTAAATATTACAATCTTAAAACACACAAACGTAAAGAAAAATCTCCTGAACCAAAAAATAATAACAGATAAATAGTCCCTCAAGTAAAAATAAAGGAATATGAAATAACTAAAAAGGAAACAACTATATTGATAATATAACAAAATCAATGAGCTCGGGCATCATTCCTGGCATTTATGATCACAAGGAAATAAGTTAAGTCTACAAAAAGACTCTTAGGGTTTGAAAATTAATTTTAAATTGAGTTTTTTGTACTTACGCCCCTAGGGATAAATAATAATTCAAATATGGGACTTTTGAATATGAAGATCTCACCACCAGGTCTACAATTCTATTTTGTAAATAGATAGAAGGCAGTCTCTTTTCAAAGCCCAAAATCACAACACTTTTACAAATATTTTAAGCTCTAAATGATTTGAAATTTTATATAAACTTCGTGGTTATCTCCTAAGTCAATAGCAATACATTGAAATTTGAGCCCCAACCTTAAGGCTTAGATGAGTAACACATGAACTACTCTTGAGTAGTCTATGTTTTAGGGTGTCTATATATGCAAGTCAATTAAACATGCTTTCAAAATTTTGACTGTGCATCTTGGTGTAAATTCCATATTAAATTCATTGCTCAAAATTTTTGCCAGTCTTTGTAGCTAATAAAACTCTTCAGGATATTCAAATACATGTGTTAAACCTACATGTGCTCTACCCAAATAAATTATGTAATTAAAATTGAACGGTATGAGAATGCTTTGTAGGTTAAAATGAAGTTTTCACTCATTTCTTCTGATAAACATGCAATATTCATTTGAAAAATTTAAGATTATTTTAAAATTAAAGAACCCTCTTATACTAACAGTCAAATCCAAGATAATTAAACCACGAATGCTATCCATTCGGGTTTCCTATCTAGAGGGTAGGGTAGTGTGTCCCGCTCGACTAGTCCGATTTCTCTCTTCACAAGGATTGTAGTTGTCAAGTCTAGTAAACTTACAATAAACAGCCAAATCATAAAGATAAGATTTTATAAGTCCAAATCGTATAGTTCGATCTCCCTCCTTATAAAGACTGCAATAATAAACTAAAATGGCTTTCAAATATAATTGTTTTAAATGTTTAACCCGATGAGGGTCTTATTGACTGAAAATCTTAACCGGAGGGGTTTATTTCAAACCAACATTAAGTATAAGTTTAAAATCAATATTTAAGTAAAATTAATCACTTAAAGATAAAAAACAAAAATCCACTCACCCTCCACAATAGTTTATTGAGGGTGATAAAATTTTGAGTGACTTCAGCTCACAAAGAGTCAATGTTGCATAAAATGTGCCCTTATATTCACAATCAAAGAAATTGCATGTCAGTAAGAATATGACCTAAGTTCTCTGTCCGCGTGGTTTTGTCGCTAAATGACACCACAAAATACTTGTTACGACTAGAGCCATCGGAAATGACATTATTATATTACTGTCATGACCACAACCTGTATATTAACAACTTTCTATCATCTCGAGTTGTGAACCATAAATGTACAATTTATTTGACACAGTTTTGTGTTAGCTAAGCTGTCTCAGAGAAACATCCACCATATATCTACAAGGATCATGTGGACGACACAACCCATGATTACTGATAAAGGATCTTTCAGGCCCAACCTATAAGTAGATTAGGAACCACGAAGACCCAAAATGAAGGAATCATGGGATCTTGATCTGGTTTCGTCATCGTTTCCCCCACCATCCGCTTTAAGCTTTAAGTGATAGGATTTTACAATTTAAAATATTATTTGCTGCAATTTTATGCTGATTATTCTATGTTAAATGACTAGCCTTAGTCGAAAGTGCTCTCCCGTTAATGAGAGGGGTAATTAACCATAGAGGCTTGCACTTATGAGAAACTTTGAACCTCAGATAAAAAAAAAAGTTATTGCAAAATGAGGGCAAAATCTCTCGGTAGTGTCTTATCTAATATTCCATCAGCCTTTTGAAAATTTGACCCTCAAAGCGCTCTCAACAATACAACAAATACAAAAATAATAGAGTCAGGAGAGCGGTTGTAATTTTCGGAGCCATACATGTTCAACCTATAATGAACTGGTAGGTACTTGTGTTGCATCTTTTTTCACCTTGGTTTAAATAGTGATTTTGTTTTTCTTCCCGTTGGCATATGTGCTTCAAAATTTCCCATCACATCAATGCACTCTTGTTTAACTCGATGGCGGCTAGCTTTATCATATGTTCAATAAGATATCTTGGTACTTAAAGACACATTCCACTCCTTGGAGCCACTTAATGATCTCATCCGGATCCATGAGACAGTCAAAACAAAGAAAGTCGCCCTGCACTCTAAAATTTTGGCTGTTTCTTTGATATTTTGTGGCAAATCTCTGGGGCATTGATTCTTCATCACTGCAAACTGCTTTGTGGAAGGATTCACTTCATCCTTTCGATCTGAAGAATCACCGTTGTGGTTAAGGGTGACCCTTTCGGATTGTCTCCTCTTGAAGACAGTAAATTTCTATTACAGTTGAAAGATTTTCCTAGAAAATTCCGGGACTTCTTTTTGCGGATTTCTCATAAGAAGCATTGTGTAATTTCCTCTCAATCATGTTCCCGATAATTATCTTTTCGGTGGCGTGGATAGTATTTGGGTTTGGATGGGTGGAATGTGTATGGCGTGATGTTGGATGGGAAAGAAATTTTTGGTGGTTAGCTTGAAAAATCAACAAAGGGATTTCGGTAACCCTAGAGTAGGACTAGGGTTCGGCTAGCTTTGATACCAAATAATACCTGAGTTAACCAATAATAATTCAGAAACAAATGATATTATCGAAACCAGATAGGAACTTACAACCACACAAAACATAAATATGAAATTGCAAGAAATACGACACTAAGTTCCACTAGGGTTGGATCAAAGGGGTGGTTTAGGTGGTCGGTGAGGGTTTGGAAGGTGTTTGGGTGGTGGAAAGTGGCGATAGGGAAACAGGAACATCAAGATGGCTGTTTCTCAGGTCTGGACCGCAAACAACAGCAGGAATCAATATGCGTTTTGGCTGTCCGGGGTAGTGGCAGCCGAGGGGCCGGTGGTTTGGGGTTGTTGGTAGCAAGGAGGAGCGACTGACAAGGCAAGAACAACAATGGGCGGCTGTTCCGGGGTGCTGGGATGAGGTATGACAGCATTTGGAGCGATTTTCTGGAGTGGCAGCAAGTAGAAATGGGAGGGAGGTGGCTGATACGGTTGGACTGCAGGTAGACAGCAAACAGGTGCTGTTTGGGGCAGCTGCAACAAGGAGGAGGCGGTTGGGAGCGGTTTGGGAAGGATGTGGAGGGGGGTAGAGGGAGGGATAATGACCATCTCGGGTGCAAGTTAGAGCTGGAGCACCACAGGAGGACCCTTGGATACAACTCTAGAAGGGAAAACATGAGACACCGACGGCTGTCCCGAATAAACTCACTCAAAAAAACTAACTCTACAAACCTTAATACAACACATATTTAAGAAATTACTAGAAAGAAAGGAAGGATAAAAGAAACTCTCTAAAATATAGAAAGAAAATAAAAAAATGTCGTTCGATCGCAGAAACCGTGGCTCACATTCTGCGTCCGGGGCATGGCGTCCTGCATCACTGAATCTCATAGATTTTCCGATCAGCTAGTTTGACTTGGGATTTCCTTGTAATATGTTTGGATCTTTCCGTGCTCTTTTTCCCCATTAGTATACCTATAAATAGAAGCTATTTGGGTCCAATTTGATGTTGTTGCATCCCCTGAAAATCCCTTGCATGCTTTATATTTACCTGCTCGCAAATACTTAATGAAATAAAGGTCTCTATTAACTCTTCTATGAAAACCTTATATTTAATGTTTCACTCAACAACTGGGAAGAACACCCGGGCCATAACTTCTTCATCATAAGTGAGATATTTAGGATTTATTTAGTTTAACTATGGCTTGGACGAGTTAGTAGCTTGTTTGCCAATTTTATCGTGTGTTCTCTATTATATAAGAGCCTACATGTTGTGATATTTTCTCGGTCGGCGCTTGTGAAGTGATGGAGGAAATTTTTGAAATCCCAAGGAATGTGTGCTTGGACATAGGCCTGTGGATACTGAATCATATAAAAATAGCTTGTGTTTTTTGCTTTTGCTCATTACTTAACTCTGAATGTTTGCTTTTGTCCTTGTAATTTTGAATCAGTCTATCACTCAAAAGCGTCAAGCATCTAATTTTACATTACATTTTTTCATCTATTTTGATTATTGATTGAATACTTATAAATTTATCAAATTTGATTATATAGTTCTTAATTTGTACATTAACATCAATGATCGTGCTTTTATGTTTGATCTATATTAACATCAATGCTCCATGATAAATTTCGGAAGTATGAACCTTGCCCATATAAAAGATAAGTACACTATCTTACCTTGACATATCTCTGGAGAAATACTGTACCCTTATTTGACCAAAATAAACTGCAAATGGCTTCAAAATTTTGATGGAAAATCGTTCGTGCAATTGTAAACGGCAAACATAATTACTACCATGTAAAAGTAACATCAGGCTTTCAAACTCTGTTAATTTTTGTTTGAATAATGCCTTTGTTTATTCATCTTGTGGAAGTGTAAGTCCACCTCAAGATTTTAACCAATTAACTCCAAAGCAGGGAATTGATATGTTTCAAGACCGTATTGGCTTTTTAAAATTCAAAGCAGAGGTATATGACACACAAACGGGGATGAAGGTATGATTTGATATTAGCATCAAATTTGCTTTGATAACATCATATAAATAAATAAATCTCGCCTGTTTAGTTTGTCTTCTTGAATAAAGGGAAAATTTCTGCTTTCTGTGATGAGAATTGACATGGTCCACGCTTGTTTCTTCTAATATTCTGATAAGATAAATGAGAGGTCAACAAACTGGCCAAAACAATTGATAATATCTTCTTACATTGGATGCTAACTCAAGTTGAAATGTATCGTTCTGTGCATGACAATTTACAATTTCATTTATCTATTTCTTGCGCTTTTTCTAAAATATTTTATTGTTTTTCAACTTCTTATATAGTGGCCCCTTACGATGCAAATTGTATAAAAATAGGATATCCTGCATGTAAATTTATTAAAAAAAAGGGTGTGTGAAATAGGTACATTTGAAATTGTAAAATCATTTGTATGAAAATATCCCTTTTTCAATTTGTGCATTGTTTTAAGTTTCCATAAATTTTGATAAAATTACAACTGCTTTTGGGATCGTAATTAGCCAAATTTCAAACAATGACTCTTTAATCAAGCCCATCACGCTTTTTTAGTTGTATAACTTTGTTTCCACCATCACTTCATTTTAGGAGTTTTGATAATTGCGATTGAAACATTATGATAGACGTCATTTTTAATTTTTTGTGCCTTTTTTGAATTTAGCCATTTCATCACCTAGCATTTCAACGTGCTAAAGAGTTCCGCATGATAAGGATGGTTATTCCAATTTGCACATGTTGCATATCAAGCACGTACATTGGAATCTTGCGAAAATGGAAAAGAAAATTATTTGTAATTTGTTGTTATGCTGCATTTTATTAAAGAATTCCACGTGCTAAGGGCAGTCATTACAGTTTGCAGTTACATGCTATATAAAGCACATACACTAGAGTATTGCCAACAGATTGGAAAATTAGTATCTTTTTAATTTGTTGTTATTTTAAGATGACAGGGAGACGAGAATTGGTGTGGGATGTGATAGATTTTTGAAGAAATATACTGTGTAGAAACTATTAGCAATACAGAATGGTTTTCTTGGAGTCAATTTAATGAATAAGTTCTCTCAAATTCCTCCTAGGGATTGCTTTCCTTTCAATTGTATGTATTTAAAACTAGTTGATGGGACTACTGAGAAAATTAGATGAGTTAGAGACTTAAAACCCAAAGAGAAAAATCTAATTTTGAGGTCGTTAAGGTACTTAAATATTTAAAGAATGATAACTGTGATAAAGAGAATAAATGTGGCATGTTCGATAGAATTTTTAAAATTTTGGCTAAATTTATCAAAATGCTCCTCTAAAAAATCATAAAATGGCTCCAATTTTTCATTTAAAGGGTGAGGAGAAGAAGAGAAGAGTGAGCTGACAATTAAAGCAGTACTCTTGAGGAGAAGTGCTGGTGAACGACCACCAATTATTGGTGACCACCACCAACAATTCTTGCAGTCAACTATAACTATTGTAACCACCAATCATGACATTTGTGATCTACTGCCATTGCAGCTATCAACTCAGTTCTTATAGTCCAATTATGACTATTATAGTCAAGCAACTATTATAAAACAATAATTGTCAGTTTTTATAATATCCTTTCCTAATTCAGGAGAACAGTGAACCTCTGTACTTTAAATTTTCTAGGGAATTATTTCGACTGAGCTAGTCCTCATGATTTTTTTTTCTTTTCAGGGTTGTTTCCACGTAAAATATGAGTCTCTTACATATATATCTCTGTATGTGCTTAAAATTTATAATGAGCGTAGATTTAAGATTTCTCAATCATCGAGAATTTTCTAGCACGCATCATATATTATAACATAAGGGCCTTACCATGGATGGCAATATGTTAGTTCATAATTATTCCTGAAGAATCAATATAGACAATCATAAACTGAGAAGCAGAATAACTAACCTGGATCGTGACTCATTCCGATGACAAACCTGCGGTGCATATGTTTGTAATATCATAAAATTACTCTCCTCGTGGATCAAACATCCAACCGTACTTTATCCCCTCAATTATTCTTACCTGGATCGTGGCTCATTCCGATGACAAACCTGCGGTGCATATGTTTGTAATATCATAAAATTACTCTCCTCGTGGATCGAACATCCAACCGTACTTTATCCCCTCAATTATTCTTAACTACTACTCACATGGTCCTTTTTTCTCAAACATAGGGCAAAATCAAGAAAGTGGGCAAACAATAAAAGGCAAGCGCACAGGTGAAGAGATATTACAATAACATTAATGTAAAATTTGAACAAGCGCTTGCACTTGACTCATAGCTCTTTGGGAATTATGGGAAAGAGGAGAGTTGCCAACATCAATGGAGATTTCTAATAAACAAGATGCAGGCGCTGAATACTCAAGGGAGAGCTTTTAAACGTGATAAGGATTGTAGAGTTCGTATATCAGTTAAAAGTAATGTCGACCATGAATTGTTTTCTCATCTTCCTTTTTGGTTGAGGTAAAATTTAGCATAGTTTTATATTCTTACTACACATTATCTTGGTTCATTCAACAATAAATGATTGCTTTCATTAAATCAATAATAACTTGGGGGATCACTACATTCTTGTTCTTGATCCACTTAAGTAGATGCAAAGGAGACAACTAATCTCAATTAAACTTTTCTTCATTTATATTCAAGCGTCGGTGATCTTGCTTGTATGGTTGCCACAACAACAACAAAGCCTTAATCCCACTCGGTGGGGTCGGCTACATGAATCCTTTTTCTCCATTGCGTCCTATTTAGTGTCATATTTTCATTAGTTCTAATAAATTAAGATAATTTTTTATACAATAAGCCCCAAGTCTTCCTAGGTCTACCTCTGCCTTTCTTAACACAAGTCGAATCTAAAACATCTACTCTCCTAATTGGATCATCGGATGGTCGACGTTTAATGTGACCAAACCATCTAAGACGACTTGCTCTAATTTTGTTTGTCACAGGAGCTACACCAACCTTATCACAAATATATTCATTTTGCATTTCGTCTCTAAGTGTAAAGCCACTTATCCACCTAATCATTCTCATCTCGGCAACACTTAGCTTGTTATTATGCTTCTCTTTTAAAGGCCAACATTCAGCGCCTTAGAGTATTGCAGGTCTCACCACCGTCTTTTAAAATTTTCCTTTCAGTCTAAGCGGTACTTTTCTATCACACAAAAGGCCCGAAGCATTCCTCCATAACAAACCAACTTGAATTCTACTATTAACATACCCATCTATATCACCATCGCTTTGAACAATAAACCCGAGAGATATCTAAATCGTTCACACCTTTTAATAATTAGATCACCCAAAGTTACACTTTTGTCACTTGAGCTACTACTACGAAAATTACATTCCATGTATTGAGTTTTAGTTCTCCTCGAATGAAGGCCTTTTGACTTCAACGTAGTCCTCCATAATTCAAGATTTTCCTAAGCTTTTTCTCGTCTTATCCACTAGAAGGATATCATCAACAAAAGGCACACACCAAGGTACATCCTCATGTAAATGTATCATAAGACCATCCATAACTAAAGAAAAAAGATATGGGCTTAAAGCTGATCCCTGATGTAATCCAACAGAAATAGGAAAATATTTGGTCAATCCTCCTTTAGTTTAAACACAAGTAACAATTCTAGCATACATATCTTTAATGATTTGAATATAAGTCATATCAACACCGGTCTTCTAAAGAACGCTCCAAAGGACATCTCTTGGAATCTTATCATATGCTTTTTCTAAATCAATAATAATCAAATGTAGGTCCTCCTTATTATCTCTGAAGTTTTCCATCAAATCTCTCAATAAATGTATAGCTTCCATGGTAGACCTGCCCGACATAAATCCAAATTAATTATGAAAACTCTTTGTATAGATCTTAAACTATGTTCAATTACCCTCTTCCATAATTTTAAAGTTTGACACATCAACTTAATTCCTCTATAATTTGCACACTCTTGTGCATCCCTTCATTCTTAAAAATGGAGACCAAAATACTCTTCCTCCACCCCTTAAATATCTTTTTAGTTTTTAAAATAATATTAAAGAGTTCAGTAAGTCAATAAACTCCCAAATCTCCTAAATATTTCTACACTTTAATTGGGATATCATCAGATACTACAGACTTTCCACCTTGGTTTTCTATAAAACCTCCTCAACTTCTTTTTTACTAATGCGATCGTAAATTTTTTTTCATTATTATAATTAACGATATTAAGATCACTAAGATCGATTATATTTTCAGAAACTACTTTAAAAAGTTTATCAAAACAACTCACCAATCTATGTTGAATATTTTTTTTTAAGAAAATCATTTTTTGATTTTCATCTTTAATACACTTGGGTTAAATCTTTAATTTTTTTTTCTCTTTGTTTAGCTAGTTTGTACATATATTTTTTACCCTCCTTAGGATCTAATCTATCATAAAGATCACTAAAAACAAAATTTTAGCGTCACAGATTGTTCTTTTAGACTCCCTGCTAGCCGTTTGATATTTTTTTCAGTTCCTTAAATTTTTTACAATTAAACCAATTTTTATAATATAACTTCTTATATTTTATCTTTTCTTGCATATTATTATTCAACCACCAACTATTTTTATTTATAGGAACTTTTTCTTTTGATTCTCCAAGTACATCTTTTGCTACTTGTTTAATAGTGTTTGTTACTTCATCCCACATAGCATTTACTTCTTCATGAACATTCCAATTTTTAAAATCTTGAATTTTACTCATAAAAATTTTTTTTTTGTGTCTTTTAAGTTTTTCCATCTAATTCTATAATGATGAGTCATAGTATTCTTTATTTTACAACTCTTCATATTAAAATCAAGAACTGATAATCAATGTTGGGTGCTTAAATCCTTATTTGAAATGATCTTACAATCTTTGCAATTTCTTCTTCTCATAAGAAAATAATCAATTTGTGTTTTATTAGATCCATTATTATAAGTAATAAAATGTTCATCTCTTTTCTTCAATAAAATATTT